AGAAAGAAAGAAAGAAAGAAAGAAAGAAAGAAAAAAGAAGGGAAGAGAAAGGAGAGGGAGAAGAAATTCCAGTAATAGGAGAACTGTCTTATTCGTTGCACTGAAACAACACCTTTGTAGATCTTACTGAAATTGAAATACCTGTTGTGGGTAGAAATAAAATCCTGACCCCTAAAGAAGAGGTTTGTCTTTTGTGAGTGGGAAAAACTGAACCAGAGAGGTTGAGAAGTTGGTTGGGTGGTTTGTGCTGGTCAGTTTTTCAGTTTTCTGTAGCATATCAGCTCTCAAATCATGAGGAGAGAGCTGGGGGAGGCAGGTGTAAAGGCACCTGTATGATGATGTGCGGAGCATGGCTTCAACAGGACCCACATACTAGATGAGGAACTACTTCCTTCATACTACCTTGAAGAACCTTCTCTAATGCACAAAATAATACCCTTCAAATGATAGAGATGGTATGGGAAAGAAGTAATTTATCTGCTGAGTCTGATGGCAGTAGATTTCACAGGGTCTATATTCAATGTATTATGAAGGATAATAAAAGCTCAAGCTGGTTCTGATAAACCCAGTGCCAACAAAAAGAAGCTTTTGATCTTCAGGCTAGAGATTTGTGTCAGGAGCTTCAGTATAGTATGTTGTTGAATGCGAGGAGGGAGATTTGGGGAGAGGATAAATGGGAAGAACCCATGAAGTGGAGGGTAGAAATATCTCTTGCTAAAGCTAGATGTTGAGCTTAATTTCATGGTGTGGAAAAATAACCCACTGATCCAAGGCCAGCCCAAGGGGGCTGTGCATTGGGCTGAGCCAGCGAGGAGACCTGGATCCTGCTACTGCCTCTGTTTCCATTTATTCTGTGGCCTCAGTCAAGTAATTTTCTCTTTCTGGATTTTGTATCTCTTCTTGCATATAGCAGTAGGGTGCTAGAGAAAACTATAATTCCAGAATTCTCTTCAGAGAGGAGCTTCTGAAAGTGATAAAGAGTGCTTGTTAATTGATTTAGTCCCATAAATTTTTTAATAATTTTATTCTACTATATATTATTGCTAAATAACCCCCCCCAGAATTTAATTATTAAACTTTTCAAAAACAGTGAAAATCAATTATAGTACCCAATGCAGTGTCTTGACTATAGAGGATATTAATAAATTTCTGTTGAATGATTGAATCTATGAATAAATAAATATAAGGCACTAAGAACATTGCCAAAATGTCAAAGAATAAGACTAAAGCAAATTTGTAAGATAACTTGGGTCAAATGACATTCAGGCAATAGTTAGTAAATTGGCAAACATTTCTAAAAGTCCAAAGATGTTTTTCTAGAATGTAAGTCAATTTTTATATGTGTGAGAAATCCTCAGTTCTTCCATATCCTTTCTGATTTTCTGTCTAGTTGTTCTATCAATTGTTGAGAAAGAGATGTGGAAGCTTATAACTGTAATTGTGAATTTATCCATTTCTCCTTTCAGTTCTAACATTGCTCCACATATTTTGTACTGTATTCTCCAAATTCCATTGGAAAATAAACTTTCACTTACTAGAAAAGAGATGGTTAGAAATAATTTGAAAAGCATCTTCAAGGGAATTAAAAATTTAGAATTAGACATTAAAAAAATGGATGCCTTTTAAGTTTATTTATTTTGAGAAGGAGAGAGAGAGAAACAGAAAGAGAGAGAGCATGAGTGAGGGAGGGGTAGAGAGAGAGAATCCCAAGCAGTCTCAGCACTGTCAGCACAGAGCCTGATGTGGTGCTTGATCTCACGACTGTGAGATCATGACCTGAACTGAAATCAAGAGTCAGATACTTAACCGACTGAGTGACTAAGCACCCCAGAATTAAATATTTTTTAAGGTCACCAAAGGAGAAAAACAGAGAATTAGTGGCAACATTTAGTGATCAAAATTTGAAATGCATACTCAAGAATGAAAAGAAAATTAGAGAATTGGCCTCAATGTTTCCAGAGTCAGAAGATCAGGAGTTGGACTGGATTAGAATG